ATCCATCCATCCATCATCCAACTGTCTGTTCATCCATCCATCCATCAACTATCCATCCAACTATCTGTTCATCCATCCATCCAACTATGTTCATCCATCCAGCATCCATCCAACTGATTGATCATCCATCCATTCAACTCTGTTCATCCATCCATCCATCTGCTCTTCCTTACATCTCTGTCAGTCATGCATCCATTTTTTCACTCTTCCTTCATCTATTCATCAATTCATCCGTCATCCATCCGTGCAGCAGTCCATCCTTCCATCCGTTCATTTATTCATTCATTCACCCTCCATCTGTCTGTTTATCCATCCTTCCATCTGTTCATCCATTCATTGTTTTTACCCACTCTTCTTAACGCAGGATTCTGTTCTGTTCCTTTTGCTTGATAATAATTCTCACCTAAAATGTAAAACTGACCACAGAGAAATTACCGAGGAGGATTCTGTTTTGGAATAATGCACATGGCTGATCTTTTTTTTTTTTTTTTGATTAAGTCAACCTTAGAAAACAAAGTGTGTGAACACAGAATCAGTCTTTCTTTGCAGGGTGTGTCTTCTGACTCTGAGGTTGCCGTCAGCCATGAGGATTTTTCTGAGAACAAACAGGTCAGAGAGTTCAAATCAGACATTTTAAAAAGACTCCCAGGCGTTTTCTAAAGTTTTTATTTTGACATTTTATCAGGAGAAAGGTAGTTTGTTCAATGGATTCCTCAGAAAGACTTCCAGCGGAGAAAGGACTGAGGCAACGGTAAATAATCGGAAATATTTCTAAACTTTTCCACAATTTTGAAGCATTTCAAGCTTCGATGTGACTCTGTTTCAGGACAGGGAGCTGTCAGCTGGCAGTGAAGACCTGTCTGAGGATAACGAGGTCCGTTTGACGTAAATAAAACTCATCTCAAACCAACTTTCAGCCACGGCGTTTACCAACTCTGTGTCTTACTTACAGGAGAAACATATTTTCATCTACACGTTCAGACAAGCACAGAAACCAGCAGAGGTACAGTAGCAGCAGCAGGTGATTTCATTATATCCAGATGTGAAGCTTTTCTAAACCGTTTTCTGCTTTTAAACCTAGGAAGTGAGCCCTGAGGATCCGCTCCCTGCCAGCAGCGAGAATCTGACAGAAATGACTGATCCGAAGGTATTTCACTTCTAAAACCACTTCCCCTTGAGTTTCTGTCTCAGCTGTGGTGACTCGCATCATAAAAACATGAAGTGAAATCAGACCAGGCTACAGATCAAACCCTAAAAATGTTTCTGAATAAATCCTTTAATGTTTGAGGCTTGATTCCAGTCTGCCTGTCCTTAAAGCTGCACTGTAATAAGTTTATTTTAAGCTCTGGACCACCACTGGTAGGTCAGGAAATGATCATTGATTAAACCAGTGGTTTCCAACACTGGTCCTTGAGGAACACCATCCTGCATGTTTTAGTTGTTTCCTGCTCCAACACACTTGATTCAGTGATTTAATTACTTCATCAAGTTCTTCAGAATCCCATTAATTCAAATCAAATGTGTCAAAGCAGGAAAACAACTAAAACATGCAGGATGGTGTTCCACAAGGACCAGGGTTGGGAACCACCACGATCAGTCAGTTCCTTTGAGGGTTTAGATTCTGTAAAATCTGAAGGATTGTATGGTTCAGACCATTTATCTCCTGGCCAAAGGTGGAGGGGAAACACTTTTGTTGCCCATCTGTGTATTTGTTCGTTGTGTTAGCAAAATACCTTGTGAACCACTGGACATATTTTACTGAAACTCTCAGAAAGACAACTCTTTAATCCACCACTCTGTAGGAAATAAAATGTCCGTCGGTTTTACAGGAATAGAGCAGAAACCTGGTGTGGTAGTAGCTGAGGGTCATCTTTGATCTTGTGTTGCGTGAGTTCATCCTTTGATCAAAACGGCTCCAACTCTGTCGTTTTCCTCAGAAGATGGTCTTTATTTAAATATTTGCTCGTCCGTCTCAAGCTGTCTCTTAACTTAATATAAAACCAAAAGATGAGATGCGGAGGTGAAAATAAACATAATTAAAAGGAATGCATTATTTTATGATATAACAAAGATGAGTTCTAAAACATGTTTAACGGGTTTCGACGGGTCGTATTTCTGTGTAGTAAAGTGATGACGGGGAACACGGGGAGCATTTGAAACGATACTACAGAATCGTTATCAGGAACAGTTTATTCACATAATTAAAAACTAAATAAATAAATATGTGGTGGACTTTCCTCCATAAATCATCTGAGCTTTAAGGACGCCTCGGCCTTTTTGTTTGATGTTCTGCACAAATAACTGGTGAATGTTTTCATGTTTCAAACGTCGTCGAGCAGTTTGAAGCGAAGCACAAACACCTCCTCGGTGAGCTCAGGATGACGTTTCCATTTTCACTAACTTATAAAAAGAAATGTTTGTTTTAGGAGAAGAAAGGAGGTCCGGCCGGGATTTTCAAAAGATGGTTGAGTTCAGAGGACCTGTTCGATGAGGTGAGGAGCATCTTCCCTTCAGTCCTTCTTGTCTGACACAACAAAAACACTTAAATTCAGAACTTTATGAACCACGTTTCCAAATACAGAAATATGTATTTCACATTATTTGTTGTGTTCTGACGTAAATGTACTGATTATGTATACAATAGTTCGTCGGAAGGGAAACACATTTACAGTTTAGTTGATTTTTGTGCAGTAATTTGTCACTAAAAGTTCAAAAACTAATGTAACATTTAACATATTTCACACAGACCTGATCTAAATAAAACATTAATTCCTTTTCTTTCTGTTTTCAGGACAAAAGCATTTTCAGTGGCATGTTTAAGAAAACTCCCAAAGCCACAGAGGAGGTGCAGTAAACCAACTTCAGCAGTTTGATTTGTCGTTTTCGAGTTGACTGTTTTTTTTTTTTGTTGTTGTTGGCGTTCAGGAGTCGAACACAACAAACAAGGACAAAAAGTTGTTTGGAAGTTCAGAGGATCTGTTTGAGACGAACACGTCAAAGGTACGGACGTTTGTAAACGCAGACTCGTGTTGTCGGACGCCGATTGCTAACTTTTAACGTTGTCACAGGAGAAAGCGGGAGGACGGGCGGTGATTTTTAAGAAGTTGCCGAAACCAGCTCCACGTTCTGTTGTGACCCAGGTGAGCACATCTGTTTTTATGGCGGTGTCATTCTAAAAACTAAAGAATGTTTCTGAATGAGTCTGAACTTGAAGCAGGAAACAGACTCCGAGCAGAACTCGTGGTTCAGCTCAGCGTTGGCGCTCATTGACCAGACTAACGAAAATCAGCAAAACCGATAGTGAAGGATTCCTCCGCTTTTGTCTGGTTGACTGGATTTAATTATTATTTTTTTTAATTGGTTTATTTCTGCAGCTAACAATCTTTCATGCACGAGTCAGCCATATTGGATTTTGAGATTGGGAATCTGATTTTCTGAGTCAGAAGGGCACTTCAGTTGATTTTTCTCACAAATTCAGAAGTTTCTACTAGACCTGTCGCGATAATCGCATGATAAATAAAAATGATCAACCTCATTTTCATTTATCTGCTTCATCGTCTCTTCGTGTCTCTCTCTTTCTACTGAAGACACTGGATGAAAAAAGACTCAACTCCGGTGCTCTTCACTGACCCCTCCCTTTCTCTTTCTTTCTTTAAAATCCATTTTAACTGTTCAAAATTGCGTTTTTGGATCGTTAAAAACAGCTAAGCTGAGAAGCTAAGCTAACAGGCCAACCTTGGGGGAAAAAACCTCCGGCTTGTCAAAGCTCCAAAATTCACTGTTAAAACCCGTGCCTTTGTGTAAAAGTTGTTTTGCTCTGCAAAAAGAAGCTGAAAACTTGTTTACTGATTTTTTTTATTAAAAGCTTTGTGTCAAAAATGCTATGCTAAAGAGCTCAATCCACACCGAGCGCCCGCCATTTTGAGAACTAAAAAAAAGGAAAGAGAGACAGCTCATGTCACGTCAAGAGGCCTCCCTCCCATTTTTCTTAGGGTACATTCACACCAGCCCTATTTAGTCCGCTTTAATCGAACTCTAGCTCGTTTTCCTTGAAAGTCCGGTTCGTTTAGGGAGGTGTGAACGCGCCATCGAACTCTGTCACGGAACAAAAAGGCGAACTCTGGCCCAGGCTAAAACCTAGGTCTCGGTCCGGTAGAATCGAACTCCAGCGCGGTTCGAGTACAGTGTGAATGTAAACAGACCGAGCCCCGCTCTGCAGGGTAAACAAACACACATTTCTCTGACCTTATATGGAGCCGTCAGCTGCCTTGTGTGAAAAACAATATTCTTCGTGGTCTTCTGTCTCATCTTCTGCTCATGCTAAGTCCATTTTTGAAAAATGACAAAATATAACTCCTAAAACTGCTAAAACTTGATGCCACTTCGTTTTTATTTTTATTTACAGAAGAAGAAGACATGTTTTCACATGTTTTTGTGTCGTTTCCTTCAGTAGTTCTTGGTGCAGCGCCCCCACAGGCGAGCGGGGGAACAGGTTGGTTCAACAGGTTGGCTCGACTGCACAGTGCAGTGTGAATGCAAACGCACCAGCTCAAATGTAAACAAAAGGTCATGAATATTGGTCCCGAACCGAGTCTACCGGACTATCTGGTGTGAAAACGACCTTAAAGAGACACGCTGCTCGCTCCCTCACTATCCATCCTTCGGTTCAAACAGTCCCGAAGGTCTAAAAGGTACTACACTCAAAATAAAATTAACCAACATTTCTTCTTAAATTTGACAGCAATTGCTAATTATTGTCAAATTTCAAACAATATTATCATTTATCGCAATAACTTCTGAGACAATTAATCGCCCAGCAAAACTTGTTATCGTGACAGGCCTAGTTGCTACTTCAGAGAGCAAATGGAAGGCAGCATCATTATGTGAGTCAGACTTCAGTGTTTAAACTCCAAATATTGTGCTTCTCTCCTTGGACCGCCTCTTCTGCTGCTCACTTCCAGACGTAAAGATCTATTTAACGCACCTTAGCTGATCATTATCGTTTGTGGAGATTTATTTTGCTGCAGCAGGTCAAGTATAACAGAGTGCACGGGTCTGAGGGCGTTTGTGACAAAACTTTTATATTTACAGATTTGGGTTCACGAGCCAATCGGCTTCCAGGAAGTGTTTGTGATAGAAGCGTGCATGAGTCCCATGAGCCATCCGGCTTCATGACCCAGATTTATGGGAGTGACTTTCTTCAATGAAACGTTAAACTGTAGCACGATGACATGATGATCGCTGTAACCTTGTTTTGTTTTTTCACCCTGATGACTCTTAAAATGTTTTTATTAGCCTGAAAATGTTGTAAAATTGTAAAAAACGAAAAAAAGTACATTTATTTTGACTTTCTGGTGTCCTTGTTTCAAAACTCAAAAACGAGGCCATCAGTTAGGCTGCTGTCGTTGGGTCAAAATGACTTCAGAGGCCTCAGTCGGGTTATTTTGACCCAAGGACAGCAGGAGGGTGAACACTGTACTCATGGCCCATTCTCAACGTCGACCTCGTCTTAACTCTTGCAGCTTCGAGTCACAAAACACTTTTCACTTTTTACACGGATTGCAGACCCTCTTTTTTCGTCCTCAGGACCCTCTCAGCGACTCGACGCGATTCTCGGCGAGCTGCGACAGCCTCACAGAGATCGGGAAGGTGAGAGATTCCTGAAAGAAAGAAACTAAAACACAACGTGCTGCAAACATGAGCACGTTTGACTCTTTGTCTCAGTGTAGCAGCAAAAAAACGAGATGTAAAGTAAACGTTCTCCATTCTTTTTCTTACAAGAACGTCTGAGGGGCAAAATGTCTGACGAATAAAGTTTTGTATTCGTCAAGAACCTTGTTTGAACCTAAACGTGTCTTTTATCTCATTATTTGATTTTTAAAGGATGCGGTTTCAGCTCAGGATGAAACGTTGGCGAGTAACGATAATCTTTCCGATGCTTCAAGCACCACAAAGGTGAGGAGTGTTTTGATTTGACATTTCTTCACCTTTTATGTAATATTTTGTGCTGAGACCAAACAAATGCTTTTTATTTTGCAGGAAAAAACAATCGGGTTTTCAGGGCTCTTCAGGCGAACGCCCAAAAGTTCAGAGATGCAAGTATGAACAGACGTTTATCTATTTTTATTAAAACCTTTTTTTACACAAAGTATAAATAACTAGGAAAAAAAACCTCTCAGGGAGAAGATCGTCCTCCGCCAACAGGAGCCGGGCTGCAACTCAAAAGAACCGTAAAGAAGCAAAGACGAGTGAGTTGTTTTCATCTTTAAAAACGTGATGAAAAGAAGCCCAAGTACAATGCCCCAAATTACACTTTTTATTTTTTGATTGCATCGTTTGAGCCTCGGTATTAAACTTCCTTCGTTGTTTTACTTTTGGTTTTCACAGGTCGTGTCGTTCCGGATCAAGAAAACTCAACCCAAGCAGGTATTTCCTGCCGTTTAAAGGACTTCCTTCACGCACACGCTGCCTGAATATGAAAACATTTCAACCTGCTGCATGTACATTTTTGACATTACTGTATTTTGGCTCCAGAGTTCAGAGAAGATGCTCGTCCTCGAGGAGACCCTGGAGATGCAGGACCTGAATGCACCACAGGGCGGAACAAAGAACGAGGTGTTGAATAAAACCGTTTTTATTGTAGTTTACATCTATATCATGAAGCTCGTTAAATATCAGATAAAAAAAAAAACCTGAAACTTCACAGAAGACTAACATTTTATAATGTTCAGCATCTTTTAGCACATATTGATGACAACATCTTAAACGTGTTCTCTGTGGATGAATGTGATGTGAAACACTGATGGTGTGAAACGCTTTTGGATCATTTGAAGCCATTTTTAAAAATGATAGTTTCAATTAAAACCCTAAATTGCTCATTTGTTTGTGTTGCATTTCATAACTTCAAGTAGAATTTGTTTGTTTTTAGGAGAACACAGTGATGGTCGAGCCTGTAGAGATGGCAGCTTATCCAACTGAAGAAACTGCAGCTGAAGCCGAGCAGGTTTGTTTAACGTGCAACTTTAGCTGCCACTCTGCTACTTTTAACTGTACTCTGCTACTTTTAGCTGCCACTTTGTTACTTTTAGCTACTATTCTGCTACTTTTAGCTGCCACTCTGCTACTTTTAGCTGTCATTCTGCTACTTTTAGCTGTCATTCTGCTACTTTTAGCTGCCACTCTGCTACTTTTAGCTGTACTCTGCTACTTTTAGCTGCCACTCTGCTACTTTTAGCTACTATTCTGCTACTTTTAGCTGTCATTCTGCTACTTTTAGCTGCCACTCTGCTACTTTTAGCTGCCATTCTGCTACTTTTAGCTGTCACTCTGCTACTTTTAGCTACTGTTCTGCTTCTTTTAGCTGTCATTCTGCTACTTTTAGCTGCCACTCTGCTACTTTTAGCTGCCACTCTGTTACTTTTAGCTGTCACTCTGCTACTTTTAGCTGCACTCTGCTACTTTTAGCTGCCACTCTGTTACTTTTAGCTGTCACTCTGCTACTTTTAGCTACTATTCTTCTACTTTTAGCTAGCATTTGTCTTTTTAGTTTTGCTTTTGGATTGTGCTTTACTCTTTTCAAACTGAAAGTTTGAAAAGAGTAAAGAGCTTGTTTTCTGCTGTTTAGCTTTAATGGCCTAATTTCAGCTTCTATAAAAACTTCAGCTATGGTTTAGCTTCAGTAGCTTTGTGTTCTTCAGGAGAACGACGAGCTGATGGAGTGGTGGAACTCTGTGAAAGGTTGGTGTCATTTGTGTGTTTTAAAATCTAAAATGTTTAATTTTTTTAAGTTTTTGTTTTGATCAGATCACATTTTTTTGTTTGTTTGTCTTGTTCATTTGTTTTGATCTGATTGTTTTGAAATGATTGTGTTATTTGTTTTTATTTATTTGTTTGTTTTTCATCTGATCGTATTGATCTGATAGTGTTGTTTGTTTGTTTATTTGTTTGTTTTTGATCCTATTGTATTTGTTTGCTTGATTGTATTGTTTGTTTGTTTTTCGTCAGATTGTATTGCTTTGTTTGTTCATTAGTTTGTTTGTTTTGATCAGCTTGTATTTTTTGTTTTCTTTGTTTGTTTTTTACCTGGTCGTATTGTTTGTTTTGTTTATTTGTTAGTTTTTTGATCTAATCATATTGTTTTGTTGCTGGTCTCCAGGTTGGACCGAGTGGAACGAGAGCTCTAATTTCCGTGAGGAAGACGACGATATGTAAACGACCTTTAATTTAAAGTTCGTGGTTGTTTTGGGGGTTCGGGCGTCTCTAAGGTCCGTGTCGTCTCTGCAGGGCGATGGAGCAGGCGGCCGATCGGGTCTACATGGCGGCCCGGGTGTTTGTGCACCTCTTCAACCAGCGGGGGGCGTCGTTGCAGCAGCGCATCCTGGAGCTGCTGGCGGTGGCCGACGCCGCGGACGACTTCCACAAGAAGACGGTGTCGGCCGCCATGGGTGGGGGCGTGGCCAGCGTGGCAGGCAGCGTGACCACCATCACCGGACTCATCTTGGCCCCCTTCACCTTCGGGGCCTCCATCATCGTCACGGCGGTGGGGATCGGCGTGGCGACAGCCGGTAACATCACGTCGGTGACGGCCAAAATCACGGACACGGTTCACTCCAACATGGACCGCAAGAAGGTGGAGAAGATGATCCAGGGGTACCAGGAGGAGATCCAAGACATCCGGCTGTGTTTGGAGTTCGTTCAGGTGAACGCTTGAAACGCTTCTCTGAATTACTTTCAGGTGTTTCATTTCAGTGACCTCCAGAATTAACTCTTTATTTAATCTTAAAATGTCGCCACAGTTCCAGTAACTGTTTTCTGCAGCTGCTGGTTGGAGGCCCCGCTTGTCAGTCCGGGTTTTTATTTATTTATTTGGGTGCAGTCAATGCACACAATTTTTCCCACAAAGCCTAATAGTTATTTTTTTATGCTCATATATGCTTTTTATATTAGCTCTATGTGGCGCTCGTTTTTTATACTTAGTCTCCGAAAAATTTACTGGAGGATCTTTCAGTCATCCCGAAAGAGATGCCTCGATGCCTGCTGGACTTCCTGATGAGTTCCCGCTTCTCGTCTCATCCGACAAAACTGCTTTACTTGACCTTAAACATATGAGTTGCACGAGTATTAAAAACATCAGTTCCACGTGCACGCAGGCTGCAGAATCGGGCGCAGAGCAGCTCAGACTCCCGTTAGCTTCCCCCGTCATTAGTGGACGCACCGTGCTGCAGCTGGTAGATTATACGAGTCACGACAAGCAGAACACGACGGCGTTGTGAAGAAGAAGAGGTTTAGAAAAAATATGTAGCAATTAAAAAATAAATACAAACCTCCACGTTCAAACACCAAGCGACCCGTGGACATTCGACTGCAAGCAAGACGTTCCTTCCAGCTACCGGACCTGAAGGACCGGTGGGCTGGAGGGTCTTCACAAAACTCTGGACTGGAGTTTTCTCAAAGTTATTCTTGAGGTACTTATATGGGAAAATGCCTTTTTTATTGCCTTAAAATAAATATTTGTTGAGTTATAAAATAAAAAACTCAATTGTGGATATATATTTTTTTTAAGTAAAGATCTTTAAAACTTAAAATAAACAAATATTTTTTTTTTGCCCAAGCTGAGACAGCTCTAAAAGACTGACTAGTTTTTGTGTTGGGTGGTCGCCGTATCATTAAAAAATGACCGAAGTTTGTTTTCAGAGCCACGCTTTAAAAGAAATCACTTATTTTAAATTAAAAATAAAAGACGGAAAAAAATGACTCGAGTTCTTCAGGATTTTTCATAATCGCCCTGAAGTGACGCCGTCAGTGCCAAACAAAAGATCGCAAACCAAGAAGTGAATAACGAGGGTGTGAAGACGGACGACCTACAGGTGAAAACCGAAACTGCAACAAATGTTTTATTCTTCTCCCTCGGAAACACAAAGTTCGACCGCTTTGGTTCCTTAGCGTCGGCGTGAAAACCTTTTGAAGAGGAGCAACTGATGAGCAAAGCTTTTCTTTAGCAGTCCATTAGTGTCCCGTCGAAGCCAGGAGCCGTCCCAACTACAAACTGGATTCCAAAAAAGTTGGGACACTAAACAAATTGTGAATAAAAACTGAAAGCAATGATGTGGAGGTGCCAACATCTAATATTTTATTCAGAATAGAACACAAATCACAGATCAAAAGTTTAAACTGAGAGAATGTTTCATTTTAAGGGAAAAATCTGTTGTTTCCAAATTTCATGGCGTCTACAAATCCCAAAAAAGTTGGGACAAGTCCATTTTTACCACTGCGTGGCATCCCCCCTTCTTCTTACAACACTCAACAGACGTCTGGGGACAGAGACCAGTTTCTCCAGTTTAGAAACAGGAATGCTCTCCCATTCATGTCTAATACAGGCCTCTAACTGTTCAATCGTCTTGGGCCTTCTTTGTCGCACCTTCCTCTTTATGATGCATCAAATGTTCTCTATAGGTGAAAGATCTGGACTGCAGGCTGGCCATTTCAGTACCCGGATCCTTCTCCTACGTTGCCATGATGTTTAGATTGCTGCAGAATGTGGTCTGGCATTATCGTGTTGAAAAATGCAGGGTCTTCCCTGAAAGAGATGACGTCTAGATGGGAGCATATGTTGTTCTAGAACCTGAACATAGTTCTCTGCATTAATGGTGCCTTTCCAGACATGCAAGCTGCCCATGCCACAAGCGCTCATGCAACCCCATACCATCAGTGATGCAGGCTTGTGAACGGAGCGTTGATAACAACTTGGGCTATCCTTGTCCTCTCTGGTCCGGATGACATGGCGTCCCAGTGTTCCATAAAGAACTTCAAATCGTGACTCATCTGACCACAGAACAGTCTTCCATTTTGCCACACTCCATTTTAAATGACCCCTGGCCCAGTGCAAACGTCTGAGCTTGTGGAGCTTGCTTAGAAATGGCTTCATCTTTGCACTGTAGAGTTTCAGCTGGCAACGGCGGATGGCACGGTGGATTGTGTTCACTGACAATGCTTTCTGGAAGTATTCCTGAGCCCATTCTGTTGTTTCCTTGACAGTGGCATTCCTGTTTGAGGTGCAGTGACGTTTAAGGGCCCAGAGATCACGAGCATCCAGTAGAGTTTTACGGCCTTGACCCTTACGCACAGCGATTGTTCCAGATTCTCTGAATCTTTTGATGATGTTATGCACGGTTGATGATGATAACTTAAAAGTCTTTGCTATTTTACGCTGGGTAACACCATTCTGGTATTGCTGCACTATCTTTCTGCGCAACAATGGTGGAATTGGTGATCCTCTTACCATCTTGGCTTCTGAGAGACACTGACACTCTGAGCTCTTTTTATACCCAATCATGTTGTCAATTGACCTAATTAGTGTTAATTGGTCTTCCAGATGTTCATTATATGATCAATTTCCTTTTTCCAGCTACTTATTGCTACTTGTCCCAACTTTATTTGGATTTGTTGACACTGTGAAATTTTGAATCAACATATTTTTCCTTTAAATGTTACATTTACTCAGATTAAACTTTTGATCTGTCATCTATGTTATATTACGAATAAAATATTGATATTTGCCATCTCCACATCATTGCATTCAGTTTTTATTCACAATTTGTTTAGCGTCCCAACTTTTTTGGAATCCGGTTTGTATTTTTAATTTAAAAAAGGAGGCCGTCATCACAGAGAACTCATCGACCCGCTCAGAAAAGGCCGTGCACTGCATGAAGACGTGGAATGGGAACTAAAATGGAGTCGTATTTGTGTTTAAAAACAAAGTTAATTATGTTATTTCTCTGCTTATATATATTTTAAAAAGCGATTTGACAGCATCCCTCAGAAGTAAGATCAGAGCACAACCTGATGGGTTAACATAAAAATAAAAAATAGAGGTTTAAAAAAAAAAACGTAACTGACAGGAATGCGTTTATTTCATAAGAGATGATGAATGTTGGACAAAAAATGCATTTATAACGTGTTTCAATGGGCCAGTTTTCCCCTAAGGAACACTGAAGGAGTCGTGGGAGTTTATGGGAGTGTTTAGAATGATTCCAACAAAGTTAAAAAAAAAACAACATCTCAGGTTTAATGACACAAATAAATAAAAATGCAACAAAAGAAATGTGACTGATTTAGTTTTTATTCTGTTTTGGTTTGTTTCTTCTCCACGAGACTGAAGCGTTAACCAACACACGATAAGCTAAACTCTGTCGATGTTGCAGAAATTAAGCTAATGTCTGATGTGGTAGTAGCTGAGAGTCGTTCCTGACGCCTGCTCTGAGCGTGAGACCGAGCAGTTCGTTGTTTTTCACCAAAACGACTGTAACTCGTTTCAACTTAAAGCTTTAATAAGAGACAATCTGACGGCTCTGAGGCGTCGGTTGTAGAAACGCTCGTCACCTCCTCTCTTGTGGTTTCGTCGCAGGAAGGAATGGACTCCCTGCAGGAGCGGAACTTTGAGGAGTTCTCTGAGAGCGCTGCAAAGAAGGCTCTGAACCACAACGTCAAACACGTGATGAAGGAGGGCGGCCGTGCCGGGAAGGCCCTGATGATCAACACCGACAAGCTCATCAGCACCGTGCAGATCCTGGGCAGCGCGAGGGGCGTGGCCAAGGCTGCCCAGGCCATCAGCGTCACCACGGGTGTCATGTCCGCCCTCTTCCTCGCTCTGGACGTCTTCTTCCTCGCCAAGGACTCCCACGAGCTCCGCAAGGGCGCCAAGACCAAGTTCGCCGGGAAGATCCGGCAGGTGTGCAGAGAGCTCCAGGAGGGCCTCCTGGACCTGAACAAGGTGAAGACGCAGCTGCAGAAGACGATGGACGGCATCGAGGTGGAGGAGTACGAGGAGATTGAGGAGGTGGAGGTTGACCTGGAGTCCGACCCGAAGAAGCTGGCTGAGCTGGAGCAGGAGATCGACATCCTGGAGGGGGAACTGGACAAGAAGGGCGATGCCGACGCTGAGGAGAAGAGGAGCAGGAAGGGACATCTTCAAACTGAAGGAGAAAAAGGAGAAGGGCATGAAGGAGAGCAAGGAGCTGGAGGAGAAAAACATCAGAGAGATTTTGACGAAATCCAAACCTGAGAAAAGTCCTGATGAGGAAAAGACGAACGAATCGACCAAAGAAGAAGAATGGAAAGAACCGGAGAACCGTAAAACTAACGAGGACACAAACAAAATGTCCGAACGGACGGAAAAATGAAAGAGAAGATTGAAAAAGAGTCACAGGAACACAAACCACACGCAGAGGAGGAGGAGCAGGGAGGATGAAGGATGAAGGTTCGAGGAGGCGCAGCAGCAGGAGCAACAGAGACGAAGAGAAACACGAGAGACAGGTCATCACGGGAGAGGACACGACGTCCCTCAGAGGACAGACCTGAACCTGAACTGCTGTCCCTCAGAGGACAGACCTGAACCTGAACCGTTGTCCCTCAGAGG